GTTTGGGATCACCTTCCAGGAAAAACACGCCTTCCTATCATTCCTGCCTGTAAATAGGTTTCCCGATGAAAGAATTTAGTGTATCTTTTCTATATAATTTTGAAATTAATTTCTTCTTTACATGGTCGCACGGCCGGTACACACGCCTTCCGATTGTAGTGAACTCAAGGGGAATTAACAGCCTTCCACAAATTCCTGTTGAGCAGTAGTTTTCTTGTTCAAGCAGCAGTTCAGTTCAGCTTTCCAGCACCTCCGGAGGGCTTTGGGGTACCTACGGCGTCTTTGTGAGAACTCACCTGGAACAGACACAGCCCAAATGAAGCTGCTCACTGCGCCGTCTTCAAACCGCTTTCTCGCGAGCACGTCTCTTGCTGTGACCGGCAACTGTTGTGTACAGCCACAATCGCATAGTCGGTCTTCCTAACTACAGTCCTACGAGACCTGTACATATTCGTCTATCGTGAGTTGCTCCCGCTGAAAACACTAGGATTCCTCAAAATAGGTGAATTTAAGCAAAATGGACAATATTGTGGGATTGGAACCTATCCGTGGGAACTGTAATATGTCTGATCCAGAAGAAAATGCTTCCAGATAATTGGAAGTTTCCACTCCTATAGCAAACAGCTTTTGGTGGCTTCACAAAATACCAGTTTCTTCAGAGAGTCTTCTCACGCCGGTGATCTAAAAGCTGTTATTTCTGATAACAGTAAAGCTGAAGTATTCACATCTTGTGCTGTTTGATATCGCTGCACATTACGGGGTGATGATCCAGAGGATACACCCTGGAACTTCACATGCCAAGATGGAGAAAATCAATCTCTGCTAATAAAAAAAGGCAGGCTCAGTGGCGCAGAAAATCACTACTCTGGAGCCTTAAAGAGGCTCCTTCAAAAATTCATGATTATAGAATGGAATCCTGGGCTACATTATAGTCCTGAAAGAGATCAGGATATGAAGGGGGGAAAAATCCAATTTTCATTAAGTGGAGAAAATAAAGAAGAAATCCCATATGCAGGCATAGTCATTGATCACATGGAACTTAATTATATGCTCAATATATAAGAACATTTTCCAAGTTTTCCCGAGTACCCAATACTTTTCCCAAATACTTTTCAAAGTTTTTTTTCTTTTTCTTGTTGTTTATTCATGGTCCTAGCACTAAATCCATCTGAATAAAATGTCTGATTATTCTGGTCAACTGCTGTAGGGTAGCTACAGGACATTCAACCTCCTGTGATATACAGACATTTAACAAACTAATTTGACCTAATGACTTAAACATACTATTCCATAAAGTATTTGGTGATGTCCCCTGCTGATGGTATCCACGCTGCAAATACAGTATGCAATAAATAGCAGAGAGGAAACATCTTTGCCCTTTTATGTGCCTACAACCATCCGGACGAAAGGCTTCTATAGTATGATAGAAATTTGAAGACATTAAATACTTTAAAGCAGATCGCCCATTTTCTGTCTATGGGAAGGCTGAACTCCTGCATCAAGATCATTTGGGGGCCGGCAAAATTAATATTCAGTCCTGCAGTGTAGGTGGGTGTGATGGCTGATAATTTGGATGGTCTTTGGCTTTTGCACAATTAGAGCAGGAAGAATTCCAGCTTCACTTTTACAGTATTTTAGCTTTCAGCCTTGGCATAGCCGTAATGCAGCGTTTGTATGGAAGAGACTGGATCGGTTTAGATGTAATCTAGTCAGCTGCCTGGAAATACAGCCGCTCTAAGTGTATGCTACAAGGCCTTTCTACCGTATTATCATACACCAAATTATTCTTGTTTAATTATTTTTCACATATTTAATGCAGCTGCAGATCTATTCATGAAGACGCATTTCAGTAGTTCAGCTGATCAGCTCAACACCAAGAAGCAGCCCCTGACAGTTCATCTTCTTGCTTACTTAAGCACGGCTGAGTCACGACTACAGTGAATCCAGCACTTTCTTTAACTTTTATTTATTCATTCATTCATTCGTTCGTTCGTTCATTCATTGTTAGGGTGCATGTGTGAGGGGCTTGGGTGAGTGCAATTTACTGTCGCGTATGTGCCATCATCACTGACTTCTGAGCTAAGCTGAGACTGAAATACTGTTTCACGCAAATACCTATTTGTCATGTTTTGCATAACAAGCTATTCATAACATTGGACTTCTCAGAACTCATTCGAATTATTTTCGTTGCAAAGATGGACAAAGAGGACAGCAGAGAGACAGGAAAAAAACTGGTCTTAGAATGCAATGCTGAATTATATTTATAAATTTTCAATAGGACCGTACGAGCTGGAAAAGACCAGTTTTAATTGGGGCACTCGGCCCTCTCACAGCTTTAACTTGCACTTCCTCGGTATGTTATTAAAGAATTTGCCAGCAAAGATAACGCAATGGCCATTTTGCACTTGCCGCTTGCCACTGTGTTTTGAACTGATGGGCTGATAGAAGCCCTGTCCGTACCCGGTGGGGTTGGCCCATGGACTTGCCAAGCTCAGAAAGTACATTTTAATTGTAAGACCCCCAAATCAGGAGCACATTTGCTAGCATTCCCCATTCAGGGCTTCCCTCCGCGGTTCTTCTCCCCCACTCCTTTTTTTAACGAGCGGGAAGGCCAGAGGTTGGGTTAAACTAAAGGCAAGTGATGGGGGGAAACAAACACTTGCAAAAAGGTAAGCGGCTGCTTAGTATTCGGGAGCGAGCGGAGCACTTCGGCTTCTGCAGACAGCTCATGTGCAATCAACTTTTATTTGGCAAGGAGGACGCCTTTCCCAGCCTGCAGCACCTTCCCGAAGCCGAGGAATTAAGCAGACGTCGGTCAGGACAAAGCGGCACGATTCCGTGCCGAGCCAGTGGGGTGAACGAGGCGGGACTGCTCTGGGGCCGGAAAAAAGCGGGAGGGAATTTGGCACGGTAGCTGAGCGCGTTGTAGAGAGGCGTCTCGGTTTCCGTGCCCCACCGTTTGTCGCGAGAAATCACTCCTTGCTGAATGGTGGGATGCTCCGGGGAGGGGATCGCTGGTGGGGGACAGCGGGTGCGCACCGCCAGGCCGGCGGCTGCCGGTGCGACCTCACAGCAGCACACCGCGTCCACCGCAAGCCTCACAGCCAAGGGAAAAATTCAGGGGCATGGGAGGAGCTGTTAGCGTCTGTCTTTCCGTCTCCCCACTGTTTCTGCCCCTCTGTTTCAAGGGACTCCGCGGGCGGTTGGCTCCCGCTGCTCATCCTGAGGTTGACTCGCTCCCCAAGAGAGCCGCGGGGAACGTTGTGGTTGTGTTTGCAACGTGACCCTCTGCCGCTGTGTACAAGCGGGGCTCTTGTACCCGAAACAGCTCCAAATCACTGTACAGAAACCATAATCTTCCGGTGGGAGCACTGTAGTTTTCCATTTTGCTGCTAATTGGATGATAGACGTGCAGTAGGCTTTGTTAACATGGCGAGCGCGGGGCAGGGTACGGTGATGGAAGGCTTTTATTTAGAAATCTTGCAAAAATGCAGCGACTCTCCCCGCTTGACAGCAATTGAAACCAATCATCAATTAACTAAATAACAGCCAATTAGCTTGAAGAAAAAAAAAAAAAAAAGAGGAAAATTGCTTACTTCGCGTCCTTTGTTGAAGCAAATGCCAGGCAGAGGATGGGAGGTTTTTTTCTTTCTCCTACGAGAAGACAAAATGGCAAAAGATGTGCAGAAAATGCACAGTGGTGGTGTTTTTATTTTTTTAAATACCATCTTTTTCTCACACAAGAATATTTGAGAAACTAAATAAGAACATCTTAAGCTCCTGAGACATTTCATTTCCTTTGCTTTTTTTTTTTTTTTTTGTTTTAACTCAAAATTACAATCATTATGCAAGCACAATTTTTCCTCCTTTCTTTCACGCCGCTGTCGGCTGCTTTGGGCGCTGGGGCAGCTCGCTGGCACTGGCTGCCTTCACGAGGAAAAACCAGCGAACAGCTGGCTGCTGTGCGGTGCGACGACAGGCAGTATCGCGATAGTAACAACGTGCATCACCAGACCAAGCCCTTCCTCTTTCGTATTTTATGGACTTTTAGAGGGCCGTAGGTGAGATGCTGTCAGAACTTGTAATGTTCAAAAACCCGATGCACCCAGAGGCCTGAGGAAGCAGCAGAGTGGTGCTGTCAGGGTGGGTGTTTCGGTCTTTGATCCCTCCAAGACCTGCGTTTCATGTCTATATCCTTTTTTGAATCTGGGCAATAGTGCCAAAAGGTATTGATTGAGTCAAGACCGTTGCCCAGGGAAAGCCGGTCACAGCAGTGGCAGGAAGAAAAAGTCTCTCTCCCGGATTATTGCTCTTTATTTTAACTGTTAGCCCAATACCGTCTCCCCAAAAGAAGCCCTGCATTTCAACACGAAGACTAAAGCTTGATGCTATATACCGTTTAACTCTTGCCAGCCCCAGAGCAGAGGCTGATGCCCATGTGGCACAGCTGGGCTTTCAGTGGGTGATAGGAAGGGCAGAGAAAGGGCAGAGATTACACCAAAGAGACAGCAGCTACAAGCGAACTGAATATTGCTGGCTTAGTCAGAGACGGCCATTTACTCATGGCATCCTGGCTTTGAATTTTTATTGCAGTTTCCTCGTCGGCAGTGAAGGCCAGCAGTTCATGCACAAAGGCGGGACGTGGCCTCGCTTCTCGGCTGTGGAGCTGGACCGCCGCTGGTCCCTCGGGGCTGACGTCAGGGCTGGGTCTGCCTGGGAGCTGTTACTTGCCTCGATCAATAATTCTTCACTTAAGACTCTTTACTCGGTGTTCAAAAAGATTTTATTATGCTACTTGGAGCTGCTCACAGCGTCGTTTCACGGGTTTCAAATTGTGTTACTCTTTTGTTAATACTTTTAGGGCCCGTGTTTCATAATTGGATAGTGGAGGGTGAGAGGTATGTCTTTCAACCGTCGGGAAAGCAGTGAATATTGGATGCTTTTTCATTAACTGATGTGAGATTCAGCACTGCACATATTGATCTGTTACTTTCTTACAGGAACATTTTACACCTGAATGCAAGTTCAAAGAATCAGTGTTTGAAAACTACTATGTGACATATTCTTCAATGATCTACAGACAGCAACAGTCTGGCCGGGGTTGGTATTTGGGTCTTAACAAAGAAGGAGAAATAATGAAAGGAAACCACGTGAAGAAAAATAAACCTGCAGCACACTTTCTTCCAAAACCATTAAAAGGTAATTGCTTGGGTTGGCTCCATCTATCTGAACTGACATTATCTTGTGTCAGAGATGTTTAATTGCTGTGCATACATATTTGAAGGGATCGGCTCCTTATAGAACAGGAGTATAATGTTCTGTAACACACTGTTAATGTAACCACAGCTGCTTTTTTTAGGTTTCTCTACGTTATCTCTGCATTTCTCTAATCTAACCAAATACGCATATCAGTTTCTTTGTGCCCAAAGTCCACAGTGTCTCCATTACAGATAACGAAGGCTTTATCTGGAGTGGCTCAAACATCTGCTCGCGGGCCATCAGTGACTTGCTGTGTAGCTTGTCAGTCCGTGCTTTATGTTACAAGATGTTTGTTTGTCTCTTTTTGCCTGAGAGAAAGCGCTAATGTGCGGTGTCGTAATTAATGTGGCATCAGCGTATGACATTAAAGGTAATGATGCATGTTGCACATGTATTAAAAGCCAGGACCTAGACTCATACCAGTTAACTGAAGGATCTGAATCAGGTCTGTGGTCGGAGTCTTTGGTTAATGCAGAGGGAGATCTCGGTCGAGGTATGGAGGTGCTCCTTTTCTCCAGCAGAACTATGGGAGAACCATGGGCTCCTTCCTTAAGAGGAACGAAGCCACCCGCTTCTGGGTCATGCTCTTAGGCAGCCTCTTACGGCAGTCTCATTTTGAAACCAGAGAGGATATTTCAAAGGTGCGTAGCCCTGGGTGGATGCTGGACTAGTTTGGCAGTCTACATTTAGGACTAGGTGTTAGGCAACTGGTGTCGAGGTTGGTCCTCAGCTCAAATGTGTGTGAAAACAAAGGAAACAGATGACTGAAAATCCGTTTTTGCACCCACCTGCTTGGGCTGCGCGTACAAGTGACAGGTCAAATCACAGCTGTCGACAGTGCTACTTCACCGTTAATAAGGAAATGTTGATTTATATCAGCTTAGGTCTGTCCTGCAGAGTTTTGTAAGTGTAGTGGGTAGGCGGGTGATTTAACTGGGAGAGGGCGGGAGCTGCGTTTTTTCCCTTCTCTAAAATGCCATTCCCTTGAAGAGGACCTCAGAGGCTCTTAGGGAGTGTTTCAAATGGAAGAGGTCTCCTTGCCGTCGTGGTTCTTTCGTTCACTGCTGACATTGCGTATTGCCGAATGCCAAATCCCACCGTTTCGCAGCCGGCCTTTGCACCCGCAGCCTGAGGAGCCCGTTCACGCGTGCTGACGTGCTGCCTCTCTTTTGCTTTGCAGTGGCCATGTACAAAGAGCCTTCTCTCCACGATCTGACAGAGTTCTCAAGATCTGGAAGTGGGACCCCAACAAAGAGCAGAAGTGTTTCAGGAGTGCTAAACGGGGGTAAATCCATGAGCCAAAACGAGTCAACGTAGCCAGGTTCAGGCAAGCCAAGTGCTCTCTAAACAGAACCTTACCTCTGGATGCAGTTGAATTCTTACTAGCGGTCTTTCATCCAAACGTTCAATTGCCCAGGACAAGCCACCGAACTTGCATAGGTCTCTCGTTTATCAGCCATTAGATCTACTGGTTGTCAAAGGATATACCCCAATAATGTAGAATATGCTTGTGCATATCACAAGGCACTTGGATAGCCAGCAAACATAACTGCGGAATAAATCTCGGAGAAGAAATGTCCAGCTCTTTCTCTCTCTCTCTTTCTCTCTCTCTCTTTCTCTCTCTCTCCTATGCTTTGTGGAATACGAAACAGAAACATTTCACAGCATTCACTGCTGATAAGAATTTGCTTTCCAACTCAGAAAAAGACCACTTTTGCTCTTCAAAGGAAATTTTAATGCTTGTATGTTTTATAGGGGCAAACAAAAAACAAATATGTAAACTCTGTTGTTTCCTTGGCTTACCGTTTTATATCTAAGGCTTGATATAAAAAAAAAAAATGTATCCTTTAATTTGGAATAGTGCAACTTTTTGATTTCTGAACTCCAATGGGTCTTTAAAGCTATGTCTTTAAAAAAATAATTAAAAAATCAGGGTTGGAACTGAGAGTTGGTGTCTCAGGCTCAAGCAAACAGTGTTCTTGTGGTTTTAAACACAATGAAATATAAATTTTTATAGATTTGTAGTTTCTGGTAAAGTTCTTGTGCTAACCCCAGTCTGTAGGAATCGAGTTGTTTTGTTATCCCAAGTGGAAGTTAACAGAAAGGGATAAAATTATCCTCCAGTGTAGATTTCTCTTAATTCCATTTTGTGTGTCATGTTAAACTATTGTTGTGGCTTCTTTTCTAAAGACAGAAACTGTGGAATTAAGGTGACTTAATTTTTTTATAAGAAACGTCTTATTTGTAAAAGTCCTTCTTTCACTGTAACGGGCACGTGAATATTGTGTAGGAGGAAGCGTTAGGACAGGTTACCCCTAAACAACATATACTTATACATGCTATTGGAAACAATTGTTTAAAAAATGTAGTTAGGTTTCCATTTAGGTCATCATGTCTGTTGCATGGGAGAAAGTTGGAATATTGGCATAGAGTTGCATGATGTGTAAGATTTTGTGCATTAATCATCGTTGGATTCTGTGCTCCAAAACTGACATAGTTCTGTACAGGCAGCTTTCTGCCTCGTACAAAAAGAGTTGTTTATTATTTGTTGTATACACAACCATGCACTGAATAAACTATTTATATTGAGATGTACTTTTTAAAAAAGCTTGTTTGATTATATGATGTACATCCATGGTTAATTTTAAAGGAAAGGGTTGGCAGTTAAATTCTAAAATTATAAGAGATACCGTAATTAATGTTCAAAGTGTTTCTATGTAATGGGTTATTCCCCTGTAATACCATACACTATACAAATGACAACATGTTGTTTCTTTTGGATATTGTTAGAACTGGTCTTACGTGCCCAGCCGAGATACTCAAAACATAGTGACGATTAAGCGCCACAAAGTCTTGGTGACGACCCCTCCGCCATGCGCTGCTGGAGCCCCAGTGAATTGCACTCCTCTGCTTTGAGCTTCTCCAGCTTCTCCGTGTCTGCCCTCCCTGTTACACGTCCCTTAGTGCAGCCGCGTAGCGGTACCTCGCAGCACACCTCCCCGCAGCCCTCCCTACGGGGGTCCCCAAGAGATGCGGGAAGTCGAGCGCTGCTGGTGCCAGGGTGGCACCTTGAGGATGCTCGGAGGTGGCTGTGCATCGCCACAGGTACATGCTAGGGGTCGGCTTTATCTGGTCTGGAGGAAAAAGGCTACGCCTCCTGCCTTTGTGCACATGCTCTGGAGAGAAAATGTCCTTCTCTCCTGCCTTTTCTCTCCAAAAAACATCAGGGAGAACTTTCCTCATCTGTAACATCCAGGCAGCTCTGACAGGTGAGCTTCACTCATCAAGGTGTTTCAAGAAGTCCCAGGAGGAAAAAGTTTTCATCGTGGGTGGCTGAAGAAGCAGTTCTGGAAGGGGATAACGGAAATGGAGGCAAAAAGCTACCTATAAATGTCAGCCTGAAATTAAAATCAGGTCTTCTGCTGTCTGCTCTGTGTGCCCCTCACTTGACCAAGCTGGAATTAGACCTCAGACCAGGCTGGGACAGTGGGGTTTTTTTCGGTTGGGGCTGAGAGAGGAGGGAAGGAGAATATGTTTCAGATCAAACCCCCGGATTTATTTTGTGGCAAATAGCAGGCAAAGAGCTCCGGCTTGCTGAGCAACCATATTGGAGCGGGGTATTGCCCTCCTCAAATACCACCACCTTGCTGTCCCTCAGATGGCCTGGGTGACCTCAGCACGCCCCTTTCCAAAGAGTGAAGAAGGCACAACCAATGCCATAGAAATCCTTAAAAATCGAAGATGTGGCCATGATTGCTCCACAGGTTTTGATAACTCGGTGGGTCTGGAGCATCTGTTCCCTTCGACTAAGTGGGGTATGCCCTTGTGGAACACTTCTCTTAACCCTCCCAACCCCAAACATCAAACTTTTTGGGGTGTGCATTCCAAAAAAGGAGTCTGAGTGCCTTAGGAACATAAAACCTGATTAAAAAATAGGCGTATTTGTGGCAAAGGTAGTCCAATGTTGAGCGTTTACTATCCTAAAGATAACTGGAGGTCTGCTGCTTTGCTTTATAGCTGCAGTCTTACTGTTATTCCCCACCCACAGTTACCTCCACCCTTGAAGGTCATCTGCAGTGAAAGAAAAATGCTTTCACGAATTGTCCCTTCTGAGGTCTGTAGTCTGACCCATCTTTCGTGTTGACGTTGGCATCAGCTGTGGGCATTCACTGCCAAGTCCCTAGTTTCAAAGGTTTCTAATACACCAAGCGAAGAAAGGCCACTCTTGGATTAAAGATGAGAAGAGAGATATGGTGATAGATGAGCCATGAACAGCTGTTTCTGACAATTGCATGAAATTTCTGACAAACCTGTTCCAACAGTAGCTTTTTCCTTCAGAGTATTGTGGACTCAAAGGGGACTCGATAGAGTCCTGATAGTAGACAAAAGCTGATGTACGCTATGGGCAAGGTGGGGGGTTATGCCCAGGGTTTGACACGTAGCCCGTGGAGCCATAGACTGAGATTTAGTAAGGAGAAATAAGAGTTAAATGTGCCTGTGCAGACAGTGAAGTGAAAGTGATACTGTGACCCAGCCAGCAAGGTTCCTTTGGGTAGACAGTAATGTGGCTTCAGCAGAGGACCGGATTTAGGAGCCAGACTCTGGAGTGTTTATTTATCCTTCAGCACCCAAACATTTGAAAGTTAAACACATGACTCCGGGATCATACCTTCCTTTAAGAAATCTGCCAGATGTTGGAAAAATGCCCGTATTGATGGTTGTCCCTCAAAAGAAAACTTAGAGCCGCTGGTCAACCCACTTTGCTCTGCCACATGCGCAGTGGCAGAGCGCAGTAAGACGCGCACCTGGAATAAGGACAAAGCCCAGGGGCCGGTACGAAACCGAGCCCTGCGCTGGCCCCGAGCCACCGTTTCTCTTGCCCCTGCCCCTCCACCGGTGCTGCCGGCGCTCCGTGCGGCATACCGCAGGGCTGGCGTTGGCTCGGGAGGTGCAAAACGGGCGCAGCATCTTTCTGATTCACCCGGGCTTCGCTTGGCAAAGCCCTCGGCCACCGCAGGGGCTGTGCGGGGGCCTTGCGAGAGGCTGACAAATGCTACCTGCCAACCCAAAAGAAAACAGGTCACCCATGAAATTGGGAGGAATACTGCTAGGAGCGCAACTCTTATGAGGCAAAAGAGCTGCCTTTTTGTGATCCACCTGTCAGAGCTGCTTTCTTGGAGGTCGTGGCAGGGGGCTCAGGCGTTGCCTGGTTTTGGGGTGAGGGATGGTGGGAAGAGCTCTTCTCTGTACCACAGAGATCTTTCTTTTTTCTTTTCCTTTTTTTTTTTTTTCCTTTCAATTTACCTCATGCTACCTCATAGCATGGTTGTATCTCCGTAGCCACTTGCTCAGCCATGTTCATCGCTGGCACGATGGAAGACAATTCCCTACTTGGGGAAAATTATCTCCAAGTTACCCCAGGGAAGAATGGTGCCCCTTCTGCAGCACCGTCTGGTGTCCCTGCCGCTGGTTTCCAGCCCACGGGCCGGGTTTTCCAGTGGGATAAAGACGGTGTAATGAGCTCAGGGATGCTGTGGTACGCCAGGCCTCTCCCCAGCTGAGCACCAGCACGAGAGCCAGGTCTGGTGGAGCTCTGCTGTGTCTTGAGTATCTCTGCGTGGAGACCAGAGCCAGCTCTAACGGGTTGAAATGTCTCCCTGACATATCCGTGACCAGGACACTTTTGCAGGACAGAATCTGTACGTAACAACCTCCTATCTTCTAATAAATAATTCTCTCGAAAACAGGCTCCCTTGTGTCTGGGCTCTGATTTTTATCACTGCAGGTATTTAAGGGTTCTCCACTCCAGCACCGGCGCACTACGCCATTGCTTAAGCTTTCCTTGGGCTATAGACGCTTCTGTGTTAACATTGTCCTTTTCCCAAGTCTTCCCGAACCAGAGAAGGGCAACCTGAGTGGTCAAGACAGGACCATCACAGATGGATCCTTCAGTCACTGTAGCCTCACCGTGGTCCACGGAGGACACAGAAAGTGTGGGGTGCTTTACCAGCTCAGGGGGTGGCTACTCTATATTGGAGCTCAGTTCCCTACATGGTATAAGACCAAAACAAACAAACAAAACCACTATGGTTTTGTCTGGCTTTGGCTCTGCCCTTTCCTGGCAGGTTGTCACCGAGGTCCATGTCTTTTGGAGAGTGGGGTCCTGAAACAAGCTGGGTTTGCTGGTGCACGATGGCATTTATTGCTTATCAGCTCCAGTAGCAGAGCTTACCCTGCTTTGGGACCATGTCACGTCAGTTTGGGGGCACTCAATCACCCGGCCCTTCTGCCGCTCCTCTCATGGGGAAGTTTAAATATTAAAGAAAAACCCAAATTTAAAACACGTTTTACATGAATCAGAGAAATTGAAGTAATAAATTATTCCATCTCATCAGGAACTGGAAGACAGTTTATAAGATTCTCTTCAAAGACCATTATTAACGATTTGGAAGTTAAGATTCTTAAATATGACATATGGAAAATTACTTTCAAGCGCCCGTAGGCCTAATTTTCTTCCCCACGTATGTTTGGCATGTCTCACCTAAATTCAGCAACTGGAGGGGCAGGATGAACGCTTTCATCTCCCGTGGGTGTCTCAGCATCGCACACTGTCTGGCACACTCCTTTTCTGAGCTTGTCCCCTTGCCGAGGACAGGGTCAGGGGTCCACCCTCCACCAAGGGCCATCACATTTGTGTATGGAGGAAGAGTTGCCCCTGTCCCGGTGTTTGTAGTGCACGGAGCGGGTTGATTTGATGAGATGTTGGTCAGGGCTGATCGGAGCTGTCGATGGCATATTTTGGGGGACACACAGCAGACTGGCAGCTCTGCTCCCGCGCAGAGACCGCTCAGCTCAGGGCATGCTCGCAGGAGAGCCTGGGGTGAATTTGGGGGCTTTGCGATGAGAAGAAGCGCTCAGGCACTGACGGCAAAACCGCTGCTTGCTGTGGCTGAACAGCCGTGGCAGCAGCAGCGCTGAGAGGACCACGGCTGGCACCCGTTGTTAATTCATTAGTGAATAGACTGCAAAGCTCTGAAAAGTGATTTGTCATGATTTGTCACCCACACCTTAAAGAAAACGAAGGCACAAACAAAAGCCCTATCCAAGCGGGGTGAGCTGATCATTTTTCTGCCCTTTGCATATTGATTTAATTCAATTATTGGACCCGGTTATACAAAGCAGACTCCATTGTCCAGACCTTTGCAGCAGGGAAGTTTCATATAGGCACGAACTCAGAGCTCTCTTAATGTTTTCAAAGAATACTGTGTATATATATTGAAGAAAACCACAGTGAGGTCTGAGCCACAGTTAGTGAAAGCTGACTACAGCCCCCCAGCCAAAACCTCAGGGGGACAAGTCAGTGGAAGGAAAGGTTTACAGACACCCTCTGAAGGGAAACAGGAGAAAGAAAATGTAGAAAAGAGTTTACATGAATTAGTGTTGTACGCAGAAACCCTTCGAAGGACACTTGGAGCATCCCTGGTGCTGCACACACACGTGCTCCAGGGAAGGGGTAATGGGAATAAAGTGTCAGAAGGAAAAGGACGACTGTTCAGGGGTGTTTCTGGTGACAGTGGCTTTGCTGCAGGTCCCTCCAGGTCACTGTT